ATCTTCCTTCCATGTTTTCTTATTTCTTATTTTTATTTTTATTTTTTATTTTTTTGTACAGGGGATCAAACTCATGCCCTTGCACTTGCAAGGCAGGCGCCAAAACCACTGAGCTAAATCCCTGGCCCTCTTATTTTTAAATTTTAAATGTTTTCTGTGTTGATGCTTATAAACTGCTCATGGTAGGTACCTTTATTACTAATATCACGACTTTTTTAGGAAATGACTACTTTTCAGAGATGTCTTCTAGGTATAGCTGGCTTTTAGCTTTTGAGTCTGTCCCAAGATCCTACCTCTTCATTTTATTAAAGGTGAGTGGTTGCTGCCTGTTTGTTTTGTTTTTGGTAGCAGGGATCGAACTCCGAACCTTGCACTTGTGACACAGGTGGCAGCACCACTGAGCTAAATCCCTGGCCCAGGTTGCTGCCTATTTGGCCTAGCACCTAGGTTTTGGTACTGGACTGTAGTATTGTTTATGACTCCCAGACAATCTTGGTATTGTCATACAGGGAAGAACTGATCAAAACAACTATGTCACCTAAGCTAAAATTGTACATTCAGTAATAATGATAGCATCAGCATAGTCTAGAAAATGACAAACTGTGACAACTGTTAATTTGCCACCTTTAACTGTAGGTACAAGGTTTACAGTTTTATAACAAAATCTAAAACAAATCAGAAAATTATATACAGTAAATATCCACTCAATAGAGGGATTTTACCCTCAGGGGAGGACATTTAAAAGGAAAAATATAGAGAAATAAAAGAAGAAAAATAGATTAAAAGCAAGGCTGAAGGAAAAGGAAGATTTCCCAAGCTTAGGGAAACTGGTGAAGAAGACAGGGAAAGAAAGAAGAAAAAACTAAAAACTAAAAACATATGTTCACAATCACAAAAAACAGACAATCAAGAAACAAAAAAAGTGAAGAAAAAGATATTTCTCTGTGATTTCAAGCCTGTGGTTATCTTCTGGGGTCTACAGTTTTGTGGTAGTGTCCGATTCAGTGTGTTTCTCTGTTGTCACTGGGAGACAAAGGAGGTAGACAGAGCCCAGACCTGGGTTGGATGATCCCAGCAAGCCTGCAGTAGGTATTGTATGAAGTGCTGATTCCACAGAGGTTTAAGCTAAACCTAGCATCTGGTTATGGGACTAGGGCCTGAGTTGTTCAGCCTATAATACTCTGGGTGTCTTGCCAGACTGCCCACAGCTCCCTGACCCTGGAAGTCTCCTGTGGTTGTCCCTCACTCAGTAACTGTGGGATTTCAACATTGAGCGCCCTGAGACGAAGCCACCCCATGGCTGCTCTGAGTCCCATGTTCAGTTGGCCCTTCCCTAAAATGGCATCTGACCAAGTACCCTCTCCAGGGGACACAGTAGTCACTTGGACTGGAGTCACTCACCAGCTCTTGTAGTGCATAGCTGCCATTGCTTCATTTCACTAATGTGTTTATCCCTGAAGGCCTCTAGAGTCACCTACTCTCACTGTGTCTCTGTAGATTCAGTCCTCTTCTCTCACACTGGGAGCTGGGAAATGGGGAGAAAGTACAGTTTGCACCTCCTTTTTCTCTGTTGTAGTCTGTCTCTTCACTTTCTCTGTGGGCTCCAATTTTCCCTTCAGATCCTTCCTGGGTCCTGGGGATCCACTTCCTTCCTTCTTTTTTTCCCTATGTTGTTATTTTCTAGTTGAGATCTCCCCACATAAATATTTAATGTATAATGGTCCATTATTATTTTTTTGTTTTTGGTACCAGGGATCAAACTCAGGCCCTTACACTTCCAAGGCAGGTGCCAGAACCACTGAGCTAAATCCCTGACCCCATTATTGTTGACTGTAAATACAAAAATATTTTTAGAGGAAGTTTTCCCACAACTTTTTATCCCCTGGTACTGGAAAACCCAGGCCTCTTCAGTGAACTATGTCCCTGGCTCATTTTTTTTTCAATTTTGATACAGGGTCTTACTAAGTCAGAGTTGCCCAGGCTGAGTTTCAACTTGAAATCATACTGCTTCAGTTTCCCAGAGTATTAGGATTATAGGCATCACCACCAGATTCAGCTTTTTTTTTTTTTTTTTTTTTTTTTTTTTTTTTTTTTTTTTTTTTAGTGTTACTCAACTGACCTGGAACTCACTATGTAGGCCAGGTTGGTCTCGAACTCACAGTGATCCTCCTGCCTCAGCCTCCCGAGTGCTGGGAATACAGGCATGTGCCACCACGCCTGGCTTTTTTTGTTATTTTGTTTTTTTGAGACAGGGTCTTACTATGTACTTGAAACTGACCTGGAACTCACTTTGTAGCCAGGCTGGTCTCGAACTCACAGCAATCCTCCTGCCTCAGCTTCCTGAGTGCTGGGATTACAGGCATGTGCCACCATGCCCGGCCAGATTCAGCTTTTTATAACTTTTATTTTAGGTCATGTTTGAATTCATTCAACAAACTGGTTTAAATTATACATCATTTAAAGTACATTTAGTTTTTGTGATAGTTAAAATAATATCTCCCCTATTTAAATACTGCAGTTAGTGTGAATTATATGAAATGTATTATGTAAAAAGCTGGGCACTAAAGGTTGGTAGCACTCCATTATATTTTCAGACAGCCTGAGGAAGCAGTGAGAATGAGGGTCACTTGCTGGATGATTATCCCCTCCCACACACCCATGCTGTGCCCCTTGAAAGACTCTCATCTGCAGAGAAATAGGCTGCGTGTGAGGCTGAGATTCAGGAGGGTTACTGTCTGTTACTAGTTAGCACTCCTCACCTTTGACTATCACCAGTATGTCACGTTAACCCCTGGGGCCATAGCAGCTGGCTGCACTGGCAGCTGTGTTTCATGGAGTTGCTTCTTGCGATTGGACAAAATACATGACACTCACAACTTAATGAAGGAGAGTTTGGTTTGGTTTGGTTTGGTAGGGATTGAACTCAGGACCATGTGCTTGCGAGGCAGGAGGTGGCACCACTGAGCTAAATCCCCAACCCAGGAGATGTTTATTTTGGCTCATGGTTTCAGTCCACGGTCAGCTAACTTCAAGGGAAAATCATCATGGTGAAAGGGTGTTGTGGAGCAGAGTGGGTCACTTCATGATGAAGGAAGCAGAGCATAGGAGAATAGCAGAGACCCAGATGTTATCCCCAAGATCAGGCCCATGTAATAAACACAGACACACCCAGACATGTTTTTATTCATCCCTTAGAAGGCTGTCAGGCCAATCAGGGTGGCAGTTAAGGTTAATGATCCTACTCTTTGCTCTTTGTTTCATTTTCATCATGAAGTGTTGAGCACAGCATGGTAGTATATGACTAATCCCTGCACTCTGGGAGGCTGAGACAGGAGGATCACAAATTTGACCAACCTGGGCAATTTAGCAAGATCCTGCCTCAAAATGAAAATAATCAAAATGGCTGGAGTTGTAGTTCATGCGAAGACCCTGGGTTCAATCCTCAGTACCATGAAAAAAACAGTATACCTGGGTATCAGGCCCTTCTTCCATCACACTCTGCCTTTTGGTATCTATTTCCTTCGCTGCTTGTTCTCAGGAAATTCTGGAAGGAGAACAAGAGCCTGCATTGAAACCCTCTAGGGGCAAGTTTAGGAAATTCAAAGGCATTTTCTAGCCAAGGTATCTCATTGTTTTATTCCAGGTCAGCCAGGACAGCGTGGCACACCCTCAGTGATAAGTACCTTTGTTCCCAGTACTCAGCAATTTGGGTGATTTTTCACCCATCCTGTTTTCAGTCTGTTTTGGTTTGAATTGTCAGAGAAAAATCTTTCTGAGCCTGCCAAACATACTAATTTTATTTTAAAGTTTATGATACTAAACTGGGGATTTAGCTCAGCAGATACAACAGTTGCCTGGTAAGTGTGAGGTCCTGAGATCAATCCCTGGTACCAAAAAAAAAAAGCTCGTGATACCATTTGATTTCCACTCCATTGGGTAAGAACTTAATGTAATAATTTTCTGGGATGAACATATTTTTCCCACAAGAAATGATGAAAAAGCAAATAATTGGTTCTGAGGCCCAAAAATTAACACTTCTAAGTTTGTTTTCCTGGAACCTTAAAAGATTTCACAATGATTTCTTTCTTTAACTCTATTGTGGTTCTCACAGTTTTCCTGTTAGCTTTATTGCTGGTATAACTAACTTTCTTTGGAGCCATGGTTACAATATTTTATACAAATAAAGCACATCTTTTAAAAAAAGCACAATGATGAATGTTTTAGTGCACTGACACAGCACTGTATGTTGCCTGAGAGGGAATAGCACTTAGATTGGAGCATCACCCCTTTATATCTGCAGAGAGGCACAACGTCTGACTCACTCTTAGCCCATATAGGTTTTATCAAGTCGGGTTGTCAGTTCAACTATGGAGAGAAGTTACAAACAGCCAGCCTGGCCTTGAACTCTTGGCAATCCTCCTGCCTCAGCCTCCTGAATACTGAGTTTACAAGCGTGCCCCACCACGCCGAGCGAAAATACGTTTTTATAATGCAATTTTCTCCAGTGACTAATACCATGTGTACAAACTTTCATTGTCATCTTTCTCAGGACAGCTCATTTCCCCATTCCCACCTAGCCTGGCCTCCTCTGCCAGTCTTGCTTTGTTACCTTTTCAGCAGGATACTCTTCCCCATCTTTGTTATGATCAAGGAGCTTGAGTTGGTAGCAGCCTACTACTAAACAGAGTCGTTTTCCCCTTAGCTACCAAGAGCTTCAAATACCTCAACAACTGGCTACTTCGTTTAAAAAAATTTCAAAGACTGCCATAGTGTCTCTGACTAATACATCTGACCCATTTTTTTTCTGGCTTTAGAAAATTGCTTCAAACACATTGTCTGCATCAACTCTGCACTAAATATCAACAGCAAATCTAGGGAGTCACAAAGTCTAATGCAGCTGACGAAGGACTGAAGTGAAGATAGCTTTTACACTGTGTGTCTTACGAGACAGAGGCTGTTGGGTTGTGTTAATGGAGCTGCTCTACTTGTGTTCCTGCCAGATAACGATGACTCGGAGATAGACATCCAGGAGGATGACGAATCCGACAGTGAGTTGGAGGAGAGACAGTTCTCCAAGCCTCGGACAGCCATGGAGGTGCTCATGCAAGGTAGGGCAGCTTCTTTCGCTTTTCTGCTCCAGTGACTCTCTCTCTCAGAGCCCTGTGGCCAGGATTAAATCTGGGCTGCTCGGTGTCCAGGTCCACAGCAAATTGTCCATGGCACCGGGAAGCCCTTCCTGCCCGGATTTATCCTGCCCTGTTGTTTATCAGGATCAGGTTCTTCAACTGCTAATGGTCATTGTTGCTGCTCATAAACTTATCCCATTGTTCTGCTGCTTTCCGAAGCAGTCAGAAGGTCTTTTTCTTGAATGTCTTTGGTTATGCTGTCATGACTGCCTCAGCACCCTAAACTGATTAAAAACATTTACATTTCTTGGTCATTTAGACTTTAGAAGAGTCAGATGGCATACAGTGCCAAATCCAGTGAATAGGGTGGCCGAGGACACACTGTAATGTTTTTATGAGCCTACTTTTGTCTGTTGGGAGGCCCTCAGCAGCAGCATTCACTGTACTTTTATAACACCGCACAAAAGATGCTCACAAAAGAGGAACAGTTTCAGAAAGTGGCAGGCATGATGGGATGCGTGTGTTGGAAGTGAGGGAGTATTCTGATGGGGAGCAATAGCAGTGCATCTCTGTAATACACTTGTAAAATTTAAACATTCACGAAATACTTTGAAAACATGATTTGCAACTTGCTTTTGATTTGAAAATTAAATATGTATAGAAACTCTCCCCATGTCAATAAATACAGATCTTCATCTTTCTTTCTTTCATTCATTCATTCGCTGGATCTTGCTATGTATTCCAGGCTGGCCTCGACTTCATTTTGTAGCCTAGGCTGGCCTCAAACTCAGAACAGTGCTCCTGCCTCGGCTTCCCAAGTTCTAGGGTTACAGGCGTGCACCTCTGTATCGGCCTACTTACTCTTTTTAGTGACTGTAACATATTTAGTGGTGTGTAACACATTTAGCACCCATGATTTACTTGAGAATCTCTTGACATTTACATATTACATATTTATTTCTACTCCTTCCTACTTCTTTGCATATCTGCAAGTGTTTCTTTAGGATGCATTATTTAAAATGGAATTTTTATTTTTATTTATTTTTGTTGTTGTTTGGTTTTTGTTTTTGTTTTTTGGAGGCAAGGTCTTGCTATGTAGTTCAGGCTGGCCCTGAACCCACTGTATAGCCCAGGCTGACCTTGAACTCACAGGGATCCTTCTGCCTCAGCCTCCTGAGTGCTGGGATTACAGGCGTGCACTCATAGGATCCCTGTGAATTTGAGGCCAGCCTGATCTATGTAGTGAGTTCAAAGCAAGCCTTAACTACATAGTGATACTCTGTGTCAAAATAAAATAAAGGAGTTTTTGTAAGTTTTGGTTGTCTCTCTGGGCCTGTCTTTAGTGGACTCCCTGTACTGTCTTTCACCTGCGCCTGGGCTGGGATCACACATGGTCCTTTCTCATTCTCAGGGCTTGAATCCAGCTCTGCCTCTCTAGTAAAGGACCACTCCTGAGTTTTTGCCAAAGTCACATCTAAACAATATTGACTTAGTTTTTAAGGAGGAATAGTGGATCCCTTAGATGATAATGGTGTTTGAAAGATGAGCTGATTATGTTACAAAGGTCCCTCAGTTTACCAACTTAATTTGTTTTCCAATTTTGGGGAAGATGGCCACATTTGTATTTGTGTGGGGAATATAGCCAGGGTCATGTTTGCCGCCCAATGTGGAGTTTGTGAACAGAAGCAAAATTTTGCTGAACTCTTTTGTCTCTGAACTGAATTGTTTGCAAACAGAATCATTCGTGAACTGAGGTATTACTGTTATTTTGAAGCTCAGAACTAGATTCAAGTGCAAGTGACATTAGTCCATTAAAGGAGGGTGTGTTTCTTTTTCAACAGATAGCATATTATTTCTACTGCATGTACACCAAAAATGGAGTTTAGTGAGTTTTCCCTAAGTGTTCATAAGATACAGTTTTCAAAATGCATGATTCACAGCTGGTGTGGGTGGGTGTCTGTACACATGTGCACATGTGTGTGTGTTTTGTAATGTTAATGATCAAACCTAGGGCCTGAACATACTAGGGAGCACTCTACCGCCTAGTTTTACTCTTGGTCCTCATGTTGACACTTTGTTGCCCTTCTTTCAGTGGGACACACACACACACACACACATACCATTACTGTTTACTTCCTATTTTATTCTCCTGTGTTTATACCATATACCATGACAGTTTTTGACAGACTTGGACACGACTGAAGTTAATGTTTAAAATGTGATTCTTCTTTGCCCCAGTTTTCTAAGAGGAAGAAAATTATGAATGCCATTTGCTATCTTATTTGCTGAAGTTTTCATGAGTTCTTTGTGCTCTGTTCTCAGGAAGACCCAGCAAACACGTTGTGGGCACAATGCAAGGTGGAGAGTCAGATGACGACGTGAGTCCTGGGGCCCCTGCGCACCTCTGTGCTTCGGGTGTCCGACTGTCCCCATCAACCAGATGAGCTGTCCCCGGCCCAGCACAGCGCTTGATCTGCGGCCCTTTGGCCTCCTAAGGGGCTTCGCTCTTCTGTTTGCTTGTTGATAGCTTGCTTCTTATTTCACACGAATGTGCTTGCCCTGTTCTCTTCTGCCTTCTCACTGTTCTCTCCATCCTCTCTTTCCAAAGATGGAAGCAGCTCCACCTCTGTTAGGTAAATGCAAGACTCCCAGCTCCAGGAAGCAGGTTGGTTTTCTCTTTTGCTTCATCTTGTTGATATGTGTCAGCCCACACAGCTTATGCAGAGCCTCTTCAGGCGTGATGCTTTCTCTCTGCTGGGCAAGAAGCCACTCCGAGTGGATCCCACAGAGAGAGGCCACACTGCCTCCTGGTTCTGTGCTGAGAAAGAGGGGTGAGCACCGTGGATGGAGGCAAGAGCAGTTGTCGTTAGGAATCTTAGGCCCTTAACTGAAACCCAGGGATGATGCTGAGGTCCAGGGGCCAAGACTGTACCTGTGTTGAGCTCCATTCTCTCCAGACCAGGTTCAGAGAGGCTGGGCAGGAGACGATGTCAGGCCGCCCACACCTTGAACTTTACTGACTAGAGAGTGAGGAGATATTTGAGGCACCAATCCGTCTGAGAAGCCCACCCTTTCTTCTGGGTCTTCATCCTGTTGCAGACCCTATTTCTACCCATGCAGCCAAGGTGACTGAACTGCCTCCGATCTCAGACCAGTTCTGTCCAGGATCCCCCCCTGTGCCTGGGGTACAGCACTGATGGCTGAACAGGGACAGAAGCAGGGCCTTAGAGTCTTGTGCCAAGCTTGTCTGAGTACCCACAGGGTGAATGGTTACTGACAGTGATGGGAGTGAACTGTTGCTCAGGTGTGCTGGGCAGGATGCAGAGCTGACCTGGCCTTGAACTGCTAGGAGATGCTTTGTAGAAACGTGAGGAAAAAAACCTTGCCCAATAACTTTTTAATAGGCAGGGTGTGGATGGTGTGGTAGTTTCCATCCATTCATCTTCTCCCTGAATCTGAAGTAGGGAGAGTCCAGCCTAAGAGTCAGCAGTAACAGAAAGCAGCATCCAGCCTCTGTTGGATTTGCCTGTGCACTTTTTAGGATGCATCGGTTGTGGCGCAGGTCTTCCTTTGCTGCTTGTTTATTTTAAGGGGCTTTATTCACACAGCTCCCTGAGACACAGAGGTTGGTCTTTCACATGTCTCTTAGCCACCTAACCTTTATCTGTTGGGTGCAGGCTGTGCACCATGCACTGTTATAGATGATGAAAAACCCAGCCCCTGCCTTTATCCCAACAGGAACAGAGCAGGTGTACCACAGTCACAGGTGTTAGAAAATAAACAAGCTTAGGAGAGGGGTGCTGGGAATGGGAAGGGGGGAATGCCCTGCTTGGTCAGGAAAGACCTCGATGTGAGTCTGGGGCAGAGGCCTATGGGAGGAGGCAATGGCTGCGTGTGGGTGGGGAGAGCCCCTGGGCCTGGGGCACACAGTCCTCCAAGGTAAGGGCAGCAGCATGTGTGACAGATGGAAGGCACTGGGGTGAGGAGGGTGAGGCAGGAGGAGCGTGCGGAGCTCTGCCATAGGTGATAAGAATCCTACAGTTCCTCCAAGTGGGGCCAGGAGGTGCTGGAGGATTGTGAACCCAGGAGGCCCAAGCACTGACTCTGTGTGAGAGAAACTACCTGCTGAGGAGACTGGTCATGCAGGTCAGTGATGACATGGCCCACCCTTGGGTGGGAGAGGCGGGGCTGAGGAGTGGAATGACTGGCACACTTCTGGGGTAAGCACCAGCAGGTTTTTCTAATTGACCCTGGATGTTGAACACACTGAGTGTTGAAGATACTGGGTGTTGAGAGGAATAAGGTACACCCAGGCTGTGGTCCTAACCACTGAAGCTCAAGATTTCACTTCCTAAGATGGGCGAGTTTAAAGTGCCTACAAAGGCAGATCAGGAGATTGATTTTTGAACTGGGTGCGGTGGGGTGGTGCTTCCCTGAAATCCTAGCACTGTAGGAGGCTGAGGCAGGAGGATGGGAAGTTTGAGCCCAGCCTGGGTAACTTCATGACTTAGGCCCTTTCTCAAAATACAAAATAAAAAAGGGCTGGGATGTGGTTCAGTGCAGAGGCCCTGGGTTCAATCCCCAGTTCTATTAAAAAAAAGGTTTTGGACTTTCTAAGACAAGTTGCCTAGAATCCATATGGCAAGCATTGAGTAGCCAGGTGAAATTCGAGTGTGGAATTCAAAGGACAGGTCTGGGCTGGAGGTAGAACTTAGGAGCCATCCATATTCAGATGGTATTGAAGACAGGAGGGCAGTTTGATAGCTTAGGGAGCACACAGCAAGGAAAGAAAGGAGCTACAATCCTGAGCAGCCAAGGGAGGCCGGACAGGTGGCACAGAGAGCTGGGGGAGAGTGTACCACAGAGGAGGGTGAGGTGGGTTCGGGGGGACAGGCCAGTGCTGCATGGAGCAAGGCGAAGACTGGATTCTGTTTAGTGGAATCCAGAGCCCTCTGGGGGCTGTGGACTGAGATCCTGATTAGCTTGTGTTTAGGGGGACACAGCGGGAAACAAGTAGGACAGCAACTTGCCCAGGGAGACCTACTGTGAGGGGAGCAGAATAGAAAGGATGGAAGCGTAAGATTTCTGAGGGTTTTGTGTTATTAGTGTTATTTCTTTTTTTTTTGGTACCAAGGGTCGAACTCAGGACCTTGCGCTTGCGAGGTAGGCAGTGGAACCACTGAGCCATATCCCCAGCCCTGTGGTTGCTTTTTAAGCTCTTCTTAGTGACAGTCATACAGATTGGGTGAGCAAACTTCATGGTGCACAGGAGTTGTAGTTTCAAAGCCAGGCTGAGCCAGTCTTTCTGGCTCCCATTGCTGAGGAGCAGATGTGCCTTTCGCTGGGCTGTTCGCATGCATTGCTTGTTTGCTTTCTGCCCCCATCTGAAAGGGGCCAAAATAGGGCCACCCTTTCCTTGGTGCTTGCTGTCCATTGGGTCTTAGGGCTCCGGAAGCCAAGCAGCATCTAGGACCCTCTGTGCGCATCCAGGGTGCATGAAGACACCCATGTTCAGCCAGCCCCTGCGGTGCAGAGCTGTGGTGCACATATGGATGTGTTGGTTGAGAAGTTGCATGGCTGTGTTCCACCCAGCAGCATATACTCTGTTCCCACAGCCTGAGCGCTCTTCTGTCCAGTTTAGCCCTACAGGGTGGGGATGGGATGGCTAGTTGTGCTCTTAACCCCTGAGCTACAGTGAAAAACCAAGGCGGAGCCTCTTATGATAAGATGCTGGAACACGATGGGAACTTCAGCTGCACTTACTATCTTTTTCCTGTAGGAAAACTCAGAGGACAGTGAAATTGACCTGGAAGATGATGAAGAAGATGAAGATGATTTGGAAGATGGGAGCATTGCTGTCTCACCAGCTAAGCCCAGTCGAAGAGTCCAGAAACCTGAGCCACTGGATGAAAGTGACAGTGATTTCTGACCTCTTACCAAGGGACCCAGGCAGATGAAAGACCTCAGATTTGTAGGTAAACAAGAAATTAGAAGACTTGGAAGGTAGACATGCACTTTGTTCTCTAATCCAGCTGGACTGATTATTCCTGAAGCAGTGCCTCTTCCAGTTTTATTCTCCTGTGTTTATACCATATTTCATGAACCTTCAGTAAAAACCAAAGCAAACCTCAAAGACGATTTTCTTTTCCCTTCTTTGTTCCTTAAAACTTTGGAAATGTATGTTTTTAATAGTTCAGATCTGGCTGGGGCTTTAGTTTAGTGGCACCGCACCTGCCTCATAAGCACAAGGTCTTGAGTTCAATCCCTGGGGCTGCCAAAAAAAAAAAAAAAAAAAAAAAAAAATTCAAATCCACAGGACAAAAACTCAAGAAATACAGTCACTATGTAAGTCTTTAATGCTGCTATTGCACATTTCCTCTCCAAGTCAAGCAGACATGGAGGCTGGAACATGGCACTGGGCTCATTTTAGGAATCGTAGGGAAACGTTTGGCTGCTAATCATTTGCCCAATTCAGAACATTTACTGTATGTTGACTTTTAATTCTAGCCTTTATTCAATGTTATAGCCTTGTTTTCTTCTGCATGCTCACAATGCCAAGCATTAGATGTATTTTAATATGAAAGATTTGCTAAGTTAAATAAAAATCAGCTTTCTTTGGAAATCAGAGAATTGAGAGAGGCCCTGGGTCATGAACATTCCATTTTCTCTCAGAAGGCTGCTGTTCTTCTGGGGGTCAGAGTCACCTTGGAGTAAAGCCACGTGTGTGTTTCTCCTGCTGCCCTGGGCTCCCCCTTAGGAGATTCCAAATTCCTGCCCCAGTGACTGCCAGGATGTACTTCCCAAGTCCTTTGTCCACACATAGGAGTGAATGCAGGTTTCCTTCATTTCTTTGACCTCTTAGAGGAAGAGGCTAGCAAGAGGGAAATACCAGTGCAGATTTATGTTTCTGATTTTGAAAATAAGCCAGAACCAAACTAGGTAGAGCTGCACAAGAAGAATTTCCCTGTTGTGAAACGAAAAGTGACAGGTCAACTTGGCTTTACAATGAAAAATATGCAGTAGTTTTCCATATATTTTACAATTATTAGGTCAGAAGATTTCTGAAGTTATGTGTCTAATAACATGTATTTAATACCATATTTTCATATTGTTTTAATTGAAAATAGTTTTGCTGGGTGTGGTGGCGCATACCTGTAAATCCCAGCACTCAGGAGGCTGAGGCAGGAGGATCACTGTGAGTTCAAGACCAGCCTGGACTACATAGTGAGTTCCAGTTCAGTCTCAACTACATAGTGAGACCCTGTCTCACAAAACCAAAAAAAAAAAATAGTTTTACAATTTTATTATAAAAATAACATACATCGCAATTAAAGCTGAAAATATAACATACTTATTCAAGAAAAACAGGCTAATATGATACTTGTAAATTTTAGGAGGCTGACTGTTATTTCTGTCATCTTTGCCTTTTTTCTCTTTTTCCTAAACTTCATATCCAAGATTCCCCTTTTTTGGGGGACACAGCATACAGTTCATGGGTGACTTGAACTGTGCTGTATTGTAAACAGCAGGCTGGAGGGGCGATCAGTGTACTGCACCGTGCTAACTGCCTGAGGCCTTGTGGCTTCTAGAGGCGGAAGAGTCACTGCATCTTCTTGGCTGTCACAGGTTTGGGTTTACCTGATTGTGACTTGACTTACATTTTGAAAAAACATGCATTGGTTACTTTTCCCATTGCTGGGACAAAATACCTAACACCCAAGGTAAAAGGAGGAAAGGTTTATGTTAGCTTATAATTTGTAGAGGTTTCAGTCCACAGTCAGCTGACTCCAAGGCAAGGTAGCATGGCAGGGGGTCATCACAGAAGAGAAACAGTTCGTGGCATGGCAGGAAGCACCAGCTAGCAAGCAGCAAGCCTGCCTTCTTTCCGTCCCTTTATTTTCCATCCAGGCTTCACGCCTATGGATTGGTGCCACCCAGTACCCAAGGTGGGGCTTCCATTATCCATACCCTTACTCCACATTAACATGTCCTAATCCAGCCACCTTTGAAACTCCCCCCACCTATGACCACATGAGTCTTTGGGGAGGCATCTGGATACCAGCCATAATAGCATAGAACTGTTATCTTTCTTTCTTTCCTTTTTTTTTTTTTGCTTTGCTTTTTTGACACAAGGTCTCACTGTGATTCGGGCTGACCTTGTCTTGAACTCACGGTGATCCTCTTCCATCAGCTTCCAAGTGCGGAGGTTACAGGCATGCACCACCCACACCGGGCAGTTCTGTTCTCTTTTACTGGGCTTTAATGTGGAAATCTAATCTGAATCATAAATAATGTGTGCACAGGTATAAGCGCAGCTGCAAAGGGCACTTCACCCACTTCTAGCTCATCTTTCATCTGTTGGCTCACCACGGAGTAGCGCTGCCCTGCTTGAGCATTTTGTTTAACGGGGATCTTCACTACTTGATCACTGTTATTCATGTGTCTCAGTCACAATAGATTCAGGAGTTGCATATGTACAAATATGTTGGAGTCTGGTGCGAGGAGCAGAGCTCAGGCCCTAAAGATCGTTGATTAGGTCAGTGGAAAAAGTAGCCTTTGGTTTGTTGCTGGCATTTTTTTTTTTTTTTTTTTTTTGCTATTAAAGGACCTCTTAAGTGTCTTAAAATATGCATATTGACAGAAAACATAAATTTTTAAATACTTAATATTTTTATTGGTGATCATCAAGAACAAAATCCAAGGACTTCGTGTGGAAAAAATGAACTGTTTCCCTTTCAGCTGGATCAAAAAGAACCAAAATATTCTCTTTCATTAGTATATTAAACTAGTAGCATTGTTGAATGTCTGAAAGGAAAGTGCAACCATTTATGTTAGCGGCACTCTAGGTAAACATCAGAGCTGTTACATGGACCCAGGAAATTCTCCAGTGGCAGAATCCAAGACTAGTTGAATTGGAAGGGAGCTAACAGTTGTACCTCCCCTGAGAGTAGAAGTCCTCTTTATGAGGATGTGAATTGAATTCTTTTTTCTGTTGTGCTCTGATGGGGTCTGTGCACAATTTGATGTGTCCATGACAGCTGACATGAGGCCCTAACTATTTCAAATAGCTTTAAGGTGTGTGTGGTCATTGAGGAGGGAAGGAAGGAGGCCTGAGAACAAAATATAATTGGGACGGGGTCCTGATCATGAGTCATTGGGGTCACTTTGTGGTTGAAAAATGATACATTTATATCGGGAATATTTGTTTCCAAGGATATGAAAGCATAACAGAGAAGAAAGCAGTTATAAAGTAGTTATTTCAGGAACCCTGCATCTGTCCAGGGTTGGCCATGGGATCATGTCCATTGCTGTGGATATGCTGCTTGATGCTTGTTTCTTCTACTTGCCAGACATTTATTGAGCACTTACTATTGTGCTAAAGACTGGAGAATTCAAAGATAAGGTATTCTTAGCATCTGCCTTTATTAAGCCAACAACGTGAAAGCACTTATATAACATTGTGATACATGTGTGTCAAGAGTATTGTAAAATATCACGGGAGCTCAGAGTAGGGAACAGCTGTCCTTGCCTGGAAGACTCGACAGAGACATCTGAGAGCCACATTTGAGCTGGAGTATAAAGGTTTAGTAAGAGTCCATCAGACAGAGAAAATGAGACGTGGCATCACTGGGCCTGAATGTAGAAGCATAGATTGCTCAAAGGCCACCACCTGTTTAGAAAATGACAGCTAGTGCATTGTGGCTGGAGCATTGAGTATATGGTGACGGAGTGACCAAAGGAACACCGCTGTCATGCTGAGGGATTGGTTGGGTTTTGTCTTGGGCAGATAGCAACGTGCAGAGACCAGAAGGTCTTTTCAGACAAAAAAACCGGAAAGAAGATGAACAACAGGCACATTAAGAGGCTTCTTGGTGTACTACATGAAGGTCCTATGTTGGGCCACCAGACCTAGATTCCTCTGTCAGAAGAGTTATAGCTCAGCGGCACAGTGCTTGCCTGGCAAGTGTGAGACCCTGAGTTTGAGTCACGGTCCGAAAGAAGATGTTGAAGAGAAAGAGTTGAAGGGGAAAGGGAGTTCTAGTCAGGTGGGAGAGGTAGCGAGTGGGAGGGTTAGAACATGCTGAGGTGTCACATCTGGGCGGCGGTACCCAGTAGTCGTAGGAATATCCAAATGGGAGACCTCCCGCTGAACCTAGTAGACAGCATAGAGTAATTCATCCCCTCCTGAAATTCCACTAGTATTTTATGAGAGAAGAAACATTTCAAGGAAGGTAAACCTACAAGGTTAAGGAGAACCAGAGTGGAGAATAGAGCAGATAAGGTGACAACAGTTATTTTTGTGACATGGAAGACAGATGAAGGTGTTAGCGCTGAGGAAGCTGAGACCACAGGTGACCTTGAACATTAAAAAAGAAGTCTGAGATGCCAAATATACCAGACACAATTGACTGCAGATGACATGCTGCTGAAGAAAATACGACTGATCCCAAAGACAGTAATACATACTATTCAAAATGGAAAACGGGAAAAAGACACGAAACAGGACCCACTGTTGCAGTTATTAGTTTATTCCTCAACTCCACGTTCACTTTTCAGCCAGCTCTGTGGTGATGGAGCTAGGCCTTATAAATATTTCTCCTTTGGCAGCCCACAAGCTTTGAACCCCGGGCAGGGGCCTGTACAAAGGAGGGGCCTTTCCTGCAGGTCCTAGTGGGGCTTCCTCCAATCCTCGGGAAGCACCCTTTTTCTCCACGGCTTTGGCCCCCAGACTTCTCCAGTGCTAGGTTTCTGTGGGTGTGGCTTTCTCCACTGTTAGGCTACAGCAGCTCTATTCCTCTGAGCTTTCAACTCAGATGGAAATGACAAAAACCAGAGGGCAGAGGAGCAACATGGAACACAAAAAACTGTCAACCTAGAATTTTCTACCCAGCAGAAATATCTTTCAAAAACAGTATTGAATATGGTAAACCTGTGCTCGCATGTCTTGATGTTCCAATCAAAGACCTTGCATTAAGTCAAGTCTGTTTACCTGCTTTCATTTAAAGCATCCCCCAACACTTGTGTTTATTATAACACTGCCATGTTTGAAGAGGTCGAGGCAGTTTTGTAGAATGTCCCTCTGGATTTTGTGTCATTATTCTTTCATGATTAGGTTTAGTAAACATTTTCGGCAAAGAACACATCAGTGACGTGCGAGGGGCAGTGCATCTGGGGCACATGGTGTTGTTTGTTCTGTGACGTGATGTTAAGTTTAATCACTTTTGTTAAGGTGGGGATTTGCCAGGTTTAAGTTGCTGTTGTCCATTT